CAGAAACTGAATTACAGGAAAAATAAAGATAACTTACTTCTCAAACTATTAAAGTTCAGCCACATTTGACAATTGCTACATAATTTAAATAAATGTATTCTCCAAGTTAACCAATATTTCCACCAACCCTTTATTTGAAGGCCAACACTACAATCTGCACAGATCAGTAGGTAGGTCACAATGTTTCAATATTTTTGCAATTTCATTGGTAAGATTCAGAATAAGACTGCCTTGAAGAATTACCTTGAGATGGTATATGTATTCTTCTGTATCCAAATCTATACATTTTGTTGATTTTTTTACAGACATCACTGAAAGTCCAACATCAATGCAGCCATGAAGCTTCTCTCTCTCGACCTGCAAAGATTTTACATAGAAAATTAGCATTGATTGGCAGGATCAACATTAATTCAGCTTGTAGTTCAGATATTCAGAATCTTTCCTTTTCACAACACCACCCAAGTCCTGGTATTCATATAAAATATCAAAATATTGTGAGGGAGCAGTGGGGTATGATGGGGGAAAAAGGAGAGACACAAATAACTTACATCAGCTTGACACTTGCCATACTTCAAAATTCCTCTGTTCAAGTAGAAGTATCTCTGTAATCAGAAATGCAAAGATACCTTCATAAGAGGGCAGGAAATGGTACTCTATATTCCATTAAAAGGGCATCTTCTGCTGTTAACCTTTTCAACTAAGACAATACACCAAGTGAGTTAAGTTTAAAAGGCAACTAACCAACCATCAGGCTACATCGACACTGGAAAGAATTGGTGATCAAAGTGCTGTCCACATGCTGAAAACTCACCAAACCTATTTTTCTGCCACCCACTGTCCACATATCACGGCCACATTGTTAGCTCCCTGGTTGAGAGAAACAGCATAGCAATGTGGGTAATTATCCCATGTTGCTTGGCATCACCTACAGTCACTAAGAACTGTGGGGATGTGCAATGTAGTGCTAGGCATTTTGGGAATGTGAAAAACATCCCAGCAGCCACCTCTTTGCTTCCCATGGCTCCTGGGACTTCCAGCTTTCATTCAAGTGGTGCAAAAGTCAATTATTGCTGCAAACTCCAGCATCTGCTAGGAGGAATCATGGATCCTAGACTTCTCTCCCACATTGCGTTCAATGTGCTTAGGACATCACGCATTGCGGCCAAGCAACTAATGTACTTAATAGCAGAGGACAGAGATGCAGATGACTGAGCAACAGGGACAGGAGTGAAGTGGCAATGCACTGAGCGGTCACAGAGCAGCTGTACACAGTAGAGTCTCGCTTTTGGGCTAGGGAAACCAGCACTGATTAATGGGATCACATTGTCATGCCGGTGTAGGATGAAGATCAGTGTCTACAGAACTTTCAGATGCGTAAAGCAACCTCCCTGGAGCAGTGTGCTGAGCTGGCCTCTGAATTGCGGTGCAAGGACACCTGAATGAGAGCTCTCAGTAGAGAGGTATGTAGCAATTGCTTTATGGAGGTTAGTGACCCCCGATTTCTACCATTCGGTTGCAAATCAATCTGGAGTGGGGAAGCCTACCACTAGGGTAGCATTTCTGCAAGCATACTGGGCAATAAATTGCATTTTGCTGCATAGGATTGCGAGACCCTGGTAAATGTGGATGATGTAGTGACTGGCTTTGCTAACATGGGCTTTCCAAACTGTGGAGGGGCAATTGATGGCCCTTATATTCCCATTATTACGTCACCCCACCTTTCCATGGAGTACATCAATTGGAAGGGTTACTTCCCCATGGTCTTCAGGATCACCGTAGACATTTCACAGACAAATGCAGGGGAGCCTGGAAAGGTGCATATGATACACACATCTTCAGGAACACTGGCCTGTACAGAAAGCTGCATGCTGGGACTTTCTTTCCCAACCAAAAAATTACAACGGGGGATGTGGAAATGCCCATCATGACCCTAGGTGATGAGGCTTACCCCTTGTAGACCTAGCTCAAGACTACTTACATGGGGTACCTGGACAACAATACGACTAAGCCAATGCCACATGATTCTTGAATGTGCCTTTGGCAGATTGAAAGCAAGATGGGACGTGTGTATGGCAGGCTGGACCTTTTGGAAGATCATATCCCCAAGGTGGTGACCACATGCTGTTGCTCTTATACTTTGTGTGAGTGTAAGAGTGAAGTGTTTACCCCTGGGTGGAACAATGAGACATGGTGCCTGGACACACAGTTTGAACAGCCAGACACTTGTGCTGTCAGAGGAACCTACAAGGTGGCCATCAATATCAGGGAGGCTCTGAGGAACCATTTTTGCAATGGGGGGAAGCTGACGTGTGTCAAGGTTGCTTCTCTGCCTCATCCCACTACTCTTCCTGAGTGAAGCATTCCCATGAAACCAAGGCATATTATAGGCTTCCACAGGGGCCAGAACGATTGACATGGGCAGCATCATACAAAATAAACTCATGAAAACTTGTTACATTTGTCTTTATTGAGGTCTTTCACTCAGAAAGCTTAGTGGCAAGGGATAGCAAGGGTTATTGGAAAACCACACAATGGTGTTAACATCCAGCTGTCAAAGTCACAGCTGCTTTGACAGGGATTGGAGTGTGCTTGGGAAAAAAAACTTGAGTGGGTGGGCACACAGGGAGAGTTGCTATAAGAGAAGTGTCCTGCATGTGCAGTCGCACTCTCCTTGGATGCGAGATCCAGTTCTTTATAAAAACAGCATGTTTTGGGTGCAGCACCAGACCAGCTGTTTGCCTCCTTCACCTTCTGGAGCTCCTTTCTCTCGTTCATGCTCCTTCTCACACAGAGCTCGAGATATGTGACTGTCTCCCAGTTCCTGCGAATCACTTGCAGCTGTGATTGCAACAAATTCTTCACCCCACACTCTTGTTAGATCCAAAAGTTATGGGTGCTCCAAGCAGGAGAGCATCTTGAGTGATAGCCCACCCACCGTCCTTAAGACACCATAAGGATCACTACACAGTGATCCAGACACAAGGAAATGGATTTTAAAGTTTGCAGGGTTTGCAAATGGGAGGGGCACATCTGTTTAACATGACAGCAGAGTTCAAAGCATTGACCAGAATAGCTAATCTGGCACTGAGGGAAACATTCTGGATGTCAATAAACTCAAAAAAAAAAAATCTATGGTAGTACACACTACATGACTGTCAACAGTAAAGGGAGGGGGAAGAGTCAGAAGTCCCTCACATGGCTAGAAGTTTGCTACCAAAACTGGGTGCTTGTCGTGATTTTTGCTGCGTTGCAATATGAACACTCTCCAGGTTTTGTTGCCAAAGAGAGGTTTTTGATTATAAAACTTGCGAGTGTAGACAATGCCTAAGATAGGCACTTGTTTCCTACCTTGTGCCAGCCTTTCAGAGGCCATTTCCTCTTTTTCAGTAGATAGCCTTCCTGTTTCTGTGGTTGCTGGGTATAATTCATGACTCCTCGCAATCCTTCCACAATTTCCCAGCTGTCCTGTTAAAACACAAAATCCACAGCTGATTTCTTTAAAGGAACAGAACTAAAAACATCTCTAAATAAAATCCAGTGAGACCAGAATCTCATCTTGAGAGAAAATACAAATTAAATGAAGTGCAATTTTTCTGACAAAATGTCTCATGAATGTATGAGCTCACCAGTATTATTTACATATAGTACATAGCCACAAGGTAAGCCACAGTTTAGTTGAAACCTTTATATCAATATAAGCAAAACCAACTCCCACTTTAGATCTCTTTTGTGCATAATTGCCTGTAAAGCAGACCATAAAAGCCTAGATTTCTGGCATGTTCTTTAGCATGTGAGCAACTCAAGGTCCTCCTCCCAAATGATGAGCAACTTCAGAATTGAGAGATGAACCATACAGGTACAAAGAAGGAAAAACTAATTGAAAATGTCAACAGAAAATGCCTTCTTCCTGACGGTATTAAAGGAGTGACCTTGAAGTAATCTGACATACAGATGAGAACAAAGCGGATAACTATTTTACAATTCCTTATAAATAAAAAAAAATCAAACCTTTTATTTTTTGGTTAAGTGTTGCTGTGAAAAATATTATATAAAAACAGGGGGAAATTATTTTTCAAGGGAGTACATGTTTTGTGTCAGCCACCTATTTAGCAGGAGTGTGGAGTGAAGGGGCGGGGAAGGTAGGAAAATTCCTTTCCAGCTTTTAATATTTGAGACATTACTGGAATGGAATATCAAATAACCAAGAAGGAGAATAATTAGGTACCTAGTTAATTTATACAAAGGAGTAACATGTAGAGGAGTCACACAGCACTTCCATTACCCAAGAAAACCTTTTTAAAAAAATTCTAAAACTGTGTTTGTTACATTCCTATAATCTGTGTTCAAAATATTTTGTGAAAACAATTCTCTGTATTTATAGCCCCCAACAAGAATCCAGTGTAAGCCATCATGCTACATGTCTGGTAGAGCTAAACTAGAACAACATACAGAGAGTCAACAAATAGAGGCATATACATCCCTCATTTTATGCAACATTACTTGACATGAGAACATCAGTAAATCCAAGTGGCAAGATGCAATAACCCACTCCCCACAATCCTTGGAAACTAGGTAGAAGTATTAACAATTTAGTTTGTGAGAATTTTTTGTTTATGCCAACTTCATTAGGACTTTTTATATAGCTTGTTGTAAAACTGGACAAAAATATCTAGATGAGTTGAAGTATCCCGGAAAACCTCTGAATAACTTCAAGGGTATGCATTCCCTTGGTTGATAACCACAGCCTTACCTGACCACTTGCTCCTGGGGATACACACAGACTGTAATTTCACAAATAAAGGTATTGGGTTGGGAGGGGGATACAATGCAGGTGGGTCTCAGAAGCAATCCCAACAATATTAATGTATACTCTTAAAGCATGTTCCACCAACTTTTTCTACACTAAAGGTCTATAATGAAACTGCCTCCAGGGCGACACTGGATGAAATACTCCAAACTCTGAAGATGATCTACTGACTGATGTAATCCAACAATTTAAAAAAATTGAAGAGGCATGTTAAGAAGCAGCCCTGGACACGTCACTAAATGCTGCATGAGGCTATGAAGCTGGAGATGATCATCTGCTTTATCAGAGACCAGTAGTGTAGACTGTGTCTTCCCTAGTTAATCTTGAAGGTTCTTTTGTCTAATGAAATGTTGCTATGCTTAATCAATGCTTCTTTCATGTCAACACCACTCTGCCCGATCTGGGTGCTAGCCTGCCCTGAGAAGGCAGTTCTGGCAGCTGGGCATAAGGAAGCCCAGCCACACGCTGCACCACCCAAGGACGAGTGATTAGTCCTAAACACCTTTGCACCACTGGAAGCTCTAAGCGGCCCCCACTTTATAAGAGTGAACTGGACATACTTTATAAGAGTGTTCAACCTTTTAATTTCAACCTAGCTTCATCAATAATCTGACTAGGTCACTGTTTTACACAATAGCTGGACATAAGCCCATTGTAGCTGGGCAAAAAGCAGAGTAGACAGCTGAAACACTGAATATGACAGAGTGAGGGTGCAGTAGTGGATAGCAAGTACTGTTTGGAACCAGAAATCAGTGAATTTCAATTTACATTAGTTAAGTAACAGAGGAATACATTAAACTGTCACTGTTATACTGTGCTAAAAATTTTAGTGTGCATAAAGAATTTTCCACTAAGTCATTCTTGACAGAGGTTGCTTTCAGATTTGGTGTGCAAGGAAAAAAACCCAGCAGCTTTTCTCTAGGATTTAACTGGATTTTTCCCGGAGAGCCTACCAACATAGCTAAAAGATGGAAAAGGCGTTTGATTGGGAAGCCCATAAAACTCATAAGCAGTGATTGATTTTAAGAATAGAAATCTGTATAAATATCAGATTAGCTTGTTCCCTTCAGAGAAAAATTTCTCAAAGAAGCATTACACATGGCATCTATCACCCACTGCTTTAGCCCAATTATACTTGATAGCAGTGCCCATCATAATCTACAATGAAAAGGATTAAAATCAGATAACTGAATTACTAATGAACATAGTGTGCGTGTGTGTGTTCCTTAATCATCTATAAGGCTGAGAATTTGTCAGAGGTTTGACTTTCTAGGACCTCTACAACTTCTGCAGCAGCTGGTGTGGCTGGCCCAGGGGCAGAAGCAGCAACATGTCCCTTGGCTCTAAAATGAAAGTGTGGCCATATGACTGTATTCTGCCCCTGCCCACAAGGCACTGCACCCACAGCTTAAGAACACCCAAGATTTAGTCAAGGGCATATAGTACAAGTCACACAGGTAACAGACCATGAATTTTTATTTACTCTGAACTGTCCATGATTTTTACTAAAATTACTCATGAATAAGCCATAGCCATAATCACCTGAATCAGGGTGGGTAATTTTTTTTTTTTTACTGGGGGCCACTTCATAAATTTTTTGAAGAAGCCCTGGGTTGCACCAGAAGAGGCGGGGCCTCAGGCAGAAGGGGTGGGGCCAGGATACTTTCCTGCTTCCCCACCCACAGACCACAATTGGTCAGGTGGTGTGGGAGCATGTGAAGTCTTTGCCCCCCTTCATAGAAGTTCTCCCTAGGCGCCTATGCTCCTGGCAGTGGGAGGAGACTTTGCACACTCTGCCTTCTGCCCCCAGGCCAATCAAGGACTGGGGGGATGGGACAGGGGAGCACACAAAGTCTCCTGTCCTGCCAGGAGTGCATGATGCTTCTAAGTGCTGCATGCTCCTTGCAGGGTGAGGGCAGGGTGGAGGAAACTGTGCACTTCCCCCCCATCCCCAAACCCTGATTGGCCTGGGGACGGGGGAACAGTAGGGCCTCTGCCGGTCAGATCAACCCAGAGCTGGCCCATGGAGTCCCTTCTATCACCCCTGGCCTGAGTTCAGCCCTGTGCATTTTTGATAAGCAGAAGCAGACAACAGATCCAATACAAAACAGTCTTCAATCTTTTGGAAGGCAAAACATTTCCCAAATGTGTGAGGTTTACAGTATTTTACTAATAATGGCCATAGGGGGAAAAAATCCAAGCATCTTCATATAAACTCTTTAGCAAACCACAAAAACCATGACTTAGGATGGGTGAAATGTTGAACCTTATAGTTTCAACTTAGTTATTCATAGTTAAATCCGTGTTCCTCTCAACCAACAAGAGCCTATCAAGAAGGATCAGAGCACAAAAGAGCGCATGTCTGGTAATTTCCTCAGAATACCATCCAATTCCAGGTTGGAAACCCACCAAGCATACTCCAAGGGCCGGGGAGGAACCAGGACACTTGTATAGAGGGAAGTTACAGAGGTGGATTCTATGGTGACGAGGGTCACATCTGAGGGGGATACATGAGGTGAAAGAGAAAAGTCTCATCAAAAGGCAGCGAGTTGGAGGCATAAACTAGCTTCTAATAGCTCCAGGGGTTGACGAGTTAGTCTGTAGAGGATAAACGAACAAAAACTGGTCTGGTAGCACTTTATAGATTAACAAAATATGTAGATGGTATCACGAGCTTTCATGGGCAGTTTTCTCCAGTCATCTGAAGTGGGCAGTGCCCACGAAAACTCATGAGGCCATCTACATGTTTTGTTAGTCTATATGCTTTCTAATAGTTTGAGTAACCGCATCGAGGAATAGCATCACTTCTTGGCATTCTTAGGGCTCAAGAGGATTTTTTGAAGTGTAACGCCAACAGGCAGAATTGAACTTGGGACCTCTGGAGCTTAAAACATGAGCCTCTACTGCTAAAAAAGCCATCTGGTTCTCACTTAAGGCTGTAAAGCAGACTCGTTCTCTTTATAAGTGGTCTTAGTACCACTAGATGGGACAGTACCCACACCCAGACTGTATGTAGGATAGTCTCCTGTTCTAAGTGTGTCTTCTCAGGTTTTACATTTCGCCAAAACTGAACAGTCAGAGTTGGCATCGGCACCAACAGCAATCTGGATTGGCCAATAAGAAAATGCTTTTAAGTCACAAGACTTCTTTTGAACTTTCAGAGATGTGGCAATAGGAAAAGGCAGCTGCTGTAGTCCCCAGATGGTGAGAGGAGACTGATCACACAGCCACTAGCGGTTTCTTTTTCTACAGAAATAATCAAAACACATGAGCCACTATTCCAGACCTCAGACATGCAGAGGGTCTAGGGATCAAATAACTCTCAGATGTATCCTTGATTTCCTTTTGGAAGATGCCATTTTCCCTTGCTCTGAATCTTATGCCTGTAAGCAAGATCTGAAGGAATGCATCCATTACAGCTAGCTGGAAGTGGGGAGAGACCTTGGGTGTGTCTATATAAATCGAGTTTGCTCTTTCCTTGCTTAGATGCTAGATATTCAGCAGATGGTGTGGTAATCAACTTAATTTGTGACCCAACACCAGCTATGTTTGTATTAAATGCGGGGCTAACTAAAATACGGTTACCAATGTTTGTAATTTTGTGGGAATACAGAAAAGTAGGACTGTGCTACATTGTTCCAAATAAAAGGACTCAGCA